CATCTCTGGCTGGGCATCAAGACTAATTACCCAACGATTGGTACCAGATGCTACTCGTAAAACTGTGGCTGAAAGTTATTTGGTTTTCCACATGTCTCCTAAGAGTGGACGAGCAGTGTTTTCACTCACAACTGAATCCAAAACAGAAACCTTGGCACCTTCTTTGATATTCGGTGAAATCTGTCCCATATTCGAAGTTGGATATAGAAGTCAACAAAAATGGTTCTGGAAAAAAAATGATGATATATTATTGTTATATAGGTCTTCCCACTACGATCTATTTCTTCCTGACACCAACCCACACTTTACAACTGGTAAATGAGCATCACACTTCACGGTTGGCGTATTTTTCGATCCGTGCATGACTACAAAATAAAGATTTGTTAATAAACTGTTTTGACCTACTTGACTTTCTCGACTTTCTCGACTTCTCCGGCTTCCTTGACTTCCTTTTGGGTCGTAACAATAAGTAGAAGTTGGTGCAACATCTTGTTTTGGTGACTTCTTTTTATGGTTGATTGATTTCACGTTCTACCAGCTGGTGCTACATTCCCACACTTGACACATGATTGTTTCTCATGTGCAATCGCGACAGATCTACAATAATAATCATAATGATTATTATATCTAAAGGAAGTAATTTATCATTATTTAATCTCAGTTAGCTTCTTTTGATTGGTAGAAAATTTGGTTTATTTGCTGTCATAATCTAGTACAATGTACTAGATTTAGTACGGGTAAATCCAATCCATTAAAATTTATTTTATTCACTTTCTATCATGTTATTTATTAATTTTGAAAATATTTTACTGGAAATTCAACAATTAGCAATGGAATTACAAACAAAAATTCAACAATATTGTCCTGAATATTAATTTATTATTAATCATAATGGATGATGTTTTATTATTGCTTCATTATTTTATGAAGAAATAAATAATAATAATAGTGAAAATAGTATTAACTGGATTTGAAATTCATACTATTAATAGACTTGTCAATACAATAACTAATTTTGAACAAACTAAGATACCATTAACATATTTTTCTGATAAAGTTTTACTATTGATTTATACTGACTTATTCTTAATCAAATAATATACTGAAACTGCTCTTTACTTTGAAATTGAACAAATTCTTAATGATCTAATAACTGAATTAATCACTGCACAAATAATAACTGAAACCAAATGCTTGTTTAAAAAGAATATTTCTTCACATAATACTATTGCAAAAATGTTAGCTGCTCTAAGAATTTATGACTATTTCAAAAATTTCTCTGAAGCATTAAATTATAAAAAGATTGATAAATATTTCAAACTGAGTCTTATTGGAAAATTAAATAAATGAAATAGTAATGAATTCAAAGAATGAATTGTTAAAATGTTTAAACAAATGATAATAAACTCAGAAGAAATAAATTTAGATAATATTTTAGTTTAATTATTTTTATTTTTACTTTTATCTTTATTTTTACTTTACTTTTTATTTTACGAAGTAAAATACTTAACAATAAGAATTCTGTTGTGATTAGATATTTTTTATAATTACAAATAATCATTTTATGTGTTTCACATAATTACTTAAAATGATCATTTTGAATGATTATTTTAAATAATCATTTCAAACAATCATTTCAAGCACTCTAAATGATCATTATAAATAATCATTTCAAATGATCATTTCAAGTATTTTGAATAATTATTGCAAATGATCATTGCAAATAATCATTTCAAATATTTTGAATAATCATTTTAAATAATTATTTTATAATTATCAAATACTTATAAATATAGCTTATATCTTAGCTTAGAAAAACAATCTTTTTAAATTTAATCTTTTCATATTTTTTTAATCTTTTTACATTTTTTAATTTTCTTAAACTTTTAAATTTTCATATACTTTAATTTTCTTTGACAAATCTTCTTAGAAGTGAGTCATATTATAAATCTTAAGTTAGAGATTTTCAGTCAAGTATTAATTATCTTTTTCCTTTCTTATTTATATTCTTTATTATTTAAAAGACCTCTCATCTGTAACAAGCAATATTATCTATAATAATATAATTAACTTTTCATTACTATTCTACAAAGTTAATTAATATTATTTAGATTTATAATAAAAAAGATAATTTTATTAAAAGTTAATTAATATTATAATAAAAAAGTTAATTTTATTAAAAGTTAATTAATAAAAGAAGATTACTTAATAATTAAATCATTTAAAATAAAAAAAGATTTCTGAATTCATTCTAGCAATTCAACAAAATAAATATATTATTGTCTACCTTTATTAAATTAGTCTTTTTCAACTTTAATTATCTTAAATATATAAAAATCTTTAATAACTTTTTCAATTAATTGAAACACATGAAGAATACGTAATTTATATTTGAAAGATAATAAAACTAACAGAAATAGTAACAATATCATTAAAAAATTAATCATGTCTTTGGATCATCATATCAAAATATTTATTATATTTTCTGGAGTATTATATCAAAAAATTAATCACATTTTTTGGATTATGATATCAAAAATTTTTTTTGTCTTTTGGAATATTATATTAATAATCATATCACATTTTTATATATTATTATGTCTTAATTTCATTATATAAATTTTTATTTAAAGTTTTGAATTTTCTATTTTTATAGACTTCAAGTTCTTGATATATTAATCATGTATTATTATTAACTAAAAAGGTAAAAAAAATTAAGTTTTATAGTGAAAGAAACTAAAGATTATTATCAAAGATAAGTAATGTATATTCATGTTGTGATGAGCTAGAATAATGTTCAATTAAAAATAATCTCCTAAATTATTTTTGAAAAAAATGATATTCAGCAAATAATTTGATTTTGTTATATTGCTTATATTAATGAATACTTAAAAATTATCTAGAAATATTTGTTTTGATTTGTAAAATTCAAATAATTTTGGAAAACAATTTTAGCTACTAATAAAATAAGTTCAGATTTAATTTCAGCAAATTAATTTCAGCAAATTATTTAATTAGATGATATTATTTCAATAACTATTCTTATGTTCAATAATTTTACTAAGTTTTATATAATTATTTAAAACTTCAAAAGTTATAATATAATCAATAAATTTTATTAAGTGACTGTCTTTCAAGTTAATAATAATAATTTATTATAAACTATCTATCTTTCAAGATCAAAAACTAATACAAATATAACTTTATAAGTTATTTAAAAGTTTTTATCAAACAAGAGATTTCTTAAGTTATTAATTACTTTTTTTATGTTAAAATACATAATATATTTATATATTTATATAAATTACATGTTATACAATATAACTGATTTTATTGTTATTGTCACTAATTTAATTAAACATGAGTATTATTAGCATTTCTGATATTATCACAATCAGACTTCTGGTAAATGTTATCGTAATATTAGGCTACTATTATTATTAATAAATTATGATATCTACTTGATATAAAACAGTTCTAAAGCAATACAGTACTGATATTTTTTAGCAACTTTGATTGATGTTCAATAGTATGTAATTAATAAAAATATTATACAGTCAACCCTCTATATAATCATCATCTTGGAAATTCAAAATCAAGTAATTATATAGAGGTGTGCTTATATTGTTACCATTTTACCTTTCATCAGTTATATCACATTATATTTTAGCGCAGTAATGTTCATTTTAAAACTTTTTCTTTTATTTTTACTTTTCTATTTTTTTTTATTTTTATCCAATAGCATTAATTTACATTTTTATCCAATTATTTTATATTATTATCGCATCATTTTTGTT